CCCCAAAACCCCAAAACCCCATGATCATCAAATCCTTTTAAATAAAGTTTAAATTATGAAATTAGATAAACGTATATACCATATATCTTTAAGGTTATTTGATATTCATTTCAAGGCTTATTTGAAAATTTCAATATCTATCCTTCCAGATTTAAAACCTTCTCTTAAATCTTCTATAATTAGATCGCCAGTTTCATTAGTCACTCCTTTTTCTCTTAATCTTCTCTTGATATCATTCGCTAGAGCATTTTAATCCTCCTCTATTCCAGCTGAAAACTGATCCTTAAACATATCGTCAATAATCTACTCAAAATCTGATTTCTTGACAATATCCATTTTATAGGGATCAAACACCCCTAAAAAGAATTCGATGTACTCATCTTTAGAAGCTGAGTAAAATTTCAGCAAGCAATTGACAAAGATAAAAGTTTCCCAAGGTACCATGCAATGAGGACTGTAAATTTCTAAGCCGACAGAGTGTAAAAATCTGTCTATCATTGTTTTATTCTAAGCCTTAATCATAATACTGTATTATTTAAATATGTCAATAGGAATTTCCATGCAATCAAAATCTAGCTTAGGCTATTTCTTCATTCTTTATTCCTTGTAATATAAGCTCATCTTTTGATTTTCATGAACGGGTAGTACTTTGTTAATCACATCATAGTCCTTTTTAACAGGTTCAATTTATTTGCTTAGCATTATCATTGAAACAAATTCACTGAATAGTTCATATAGGCTCCTACTAGTGAGACCATACTTATCAAGCCATTCATTTTTCTTGCTCATTGCTTACTGTAATATCTTGTTGTGCTGAATTTCTTTTTCAACAGAGGGCATATTTTTTTCTTCTTACTTAGCTCTCTATGAAAAAGTTTCTTCTAGAATTTGCTCAGATATCATGGAATGACCGAATCTTGGTGTTCTATCGTCAAAATTAAATGATTTATTGATCTCACTCTTTTTGCTGTTATTTTTCTAAGTCAGTGTTCTATCCTCAAACTTACCATGGAAAGTTGAATTCAAGTTCGGTAATCTTACACAGATAGGCTTACCATACATCTCTCTATTGAACTTTTTGGAGAATGATTGAGTTCTTTTTTCATTTATTAGTTTCAATGATAATTTAACATTCTTTTCTTCTATTGATTTGTTTAGGTCTAGAGATGCGATTACTGAATCTTGAAATTTTAAAAGTGTGTTTTGAATATCTTATTTAGTGTCTTGATTTTTTTCAGTTAAAGTTTCACCCTCTTTAAATGTAATCTTATTAAACTAATCTTTCTAAGTAACTATCAAATGATGAGTATCATCTGGTATCTATAATAGACTCTCAATTTTAGTCCCATCTATCAAATACAAAAACTTGAACTACTTGATAAGTCTTCTCTCTTTAACAGATTTTTCTCCTATACTCTCATAACCCATTTCCTCAGTGCACTACTCAACAATTTCTAGAAAAGCCTAATCATAGAATTTTTACTACATCTAGATTGCTTTGCCTGGCTCAAGATGCTCATTCGCTCCAATAAAAATGAAAAATTTCTTCTTGAAAGAGTTTAAGTCTATCTCAACATGCTTAGTCTTCTCTGTAATTTCACTAGTGCCGCCTTCATAAATCTTAACAAAATGTGCATATTCAAATAATACGGCATCTTATAAAGTCTCTTTAGAGTTTTTGTGCGAAAATTTATCTTTACTTTGGATTCTAAGAAACTCTGCACTGCTCATATCATTTATATTGAGTAAATTAGTTCTCTAGTTTTTTATTTCTGGTAGCAGAGATGGTTGTTTTATCGGACTACCCCCTATGCTAAAGTTTTATATTTAATTTATCGCATCTCTGAGAGAACTCTTTGAGGGTTTTATTCGAACTGAAGTCATACCGAATATCTACTCGAATTTTTCAGGAGTAACTGATGTCTCGGTAGTTCTATTTTAATTATTTCAGCTTCCTCTACCGTAAGAATTCCTTTATTCCGTAATGAAGTGAGATTAAGGCATAAGATTTAGACTGGGGGAGTTCTCATTACCAGGTCTTGCCCTCTGAGGTGAAACCATTTATCGCATAGCCCTTATATTACTAATTAATTTATCGTCATTCAGAATGGCCTGAGTCTTAATCTTATTTGTAAGTTATCTGTATCTACTTTACTAGCTTAATGCGATTTCAATAGACTGATCTTACTGTTTTATTATGTGAATAGAATCGTTTTATTGACTAAATCTATTACTAACTTATTGTTTGTTATCAGTCATCAAAGTAGATGAGTAATTTATGTCCCTAATTGATTCTGCCCCAACATATTAAATCGAATCTCTTCTATCTTTGTCCATTAGGTTGATTTTAAACAACTTACTCAAGGCTTTTTATTTCTCAAAGATGCTTAATTTCTAGCTGTTTTACTGCTGTACAAAATTACTAAATTGCTTTGATGATAGGAGGTCTTGCAACTATGAGTTTTAAGTGCTCAACTTTTACTATTACTTGTGTAATGACTAATTATTAAACCTAATAGTAGAGATCGAAGTCCTCTTACTCACAAACATAGGCATTATATAGAGGCTATCTTTGTTTCTTGTTGAGCTTTTGGTATGATTAAGTTCAAGTTCATAAGGCTTGATAGGACTCAAGTGCTTTGATTCTACTAATATTTCAGGATTTGATATACCTATTGGATCGTGTGTATTTAAATTTGGATGATCACTCATTGCAGCTTATTAATATCCTATGATTATAATTTTTATTTCTGAGGAATTTGATTAAAAAATTATTCCCATAAAAATGAATTAAACAGCATTCCGGGGTTTTGGGGTTTTGGGGTTT